TTACGAAAATTGTGACTATATCATTCAAACATAATCAAACTCAACCTGTACACACACAAAACACAATAAATTTCTCATTTTTTTAATAATTCGAATTTTTAGAATACGTCCTTTCAACAATTCTCATCTATCACTTGAAAGCATGAAACTGTTGACAAGCACGCGAGCGTATCCATCTGTTCCTCTGTACACGTGCATGCGTATGGATAAAAATTATTTTATTGAAAAAATGATCAAAAATAAGTGTGGATAAAAATGAGTTTTAACTAACGTGTACCAAAGGGGCTTAACTATTGTTTGAATGTCATTCTTTAATACTCATTTTCCGTTTTATTCAAGAACTTTTCTCTACATTTTAACCTCAAATTCTTTAAAAATAAAATTATATAATTCATTCTAAAAAATGGGGATCAAACACGGGCTTAGTTTGATTGTAAAATTTTGCCTTTAAGCTCTATAGGACTTTTAGAAAAGATTTTATTTTCTTTCCAAGGCTCATCTTGTTTATTACTTTGAAATAAGACTCATGAAGTAACGTAAAATAAAATTGTATAATTTTAGGAGGGACTCAGCTTGAACTAAAGTTAAAGAAATAAAAGAGAACTTACCTTGTCGGGAAATACAAAGAACAATGAAACTTGGATTAAAATTAGAACTCATAAGACCTCATTTCGGATTTAGTCATCATTCGTCCTTTTGAATATATCTTATGTTTGATCCTCCGCTTAAAGTCACCACTCGAAGCAAATTGATTATCTCACCTTATTTGAGTCATTTCCTTGTGGACCGAAATTGTCATGTGTAAGTCTCAAGCTCACCTACTAAAATAATAGGACCGGCCTATGTGTACAGGGCCACATGGGCTACCCCCGTAAGTACAGGCGCATGTGACCATCTACTTGTAGCTTTATTCAAAATAATAGAGTTGTTACGCGTGTACAAGGTGGGGGCTCTACAGCTCACACAGAGGTGGGTCCCGTATCAATAAAAGAATTAAAAAAAGTACCCCCCCCCCCCCCCCCCCCCNATCAGAACCCTCACCCTGTACACGAAGAACAACTCAAAATAATATGTTGAAGTTGCCTACCAAAGTGCTTCCTATCTACTACTAATTATCTACCTTTTAGTTATGAATATGAATTGAATAAGAGCTCCTCAGTTACTATGGGACAATTGTTGGCATTGCCAAGTCATCTTCCTGTTTGCATTGGATTGTTCTTTTTTGAATCAAAACTCAATCTCAAATTTTATCTTCAATATATATCCAGTTTCACTAGTCCTTCTCAAATCAAAACTCGTGGCTTTTTTTGTTGATGAACTTCTCAGTAGTCTATAATCAAAACTCTTGACTTTTGTTCAAGAAGCATTTTCCTATTTATTGATAATGTTTTAGATAATGATGAAGTGTCAAAATGTAAGTGAAAAAAGTAATTTGATTGATAAAATTTTAATCCAATTAAATCTTGTCACATCATTTGTTGACAAATCATTATGTAAATTGTTATGTACATGTAGCATAACACAAATAGATAATCATATTCTGATTAGTCTAGAAAGTAACATGTAATTAGAGAAGCCAACAAAAATAATAACCATGACTCCTAATTTCCCACACATACAATACTGGTTTCCAAAATTATGGATGTTGCATTAAATTCAGTTCCAATTCACAGCTTCTATTCTCCATCTCTCTCTGACGTAGACATACATACATACACATGTGTACGCGTTTCGTACTAGGTTAATACAAGTTCGGTTTAGTTTGTAGCCATGTTTTGGTTGATAGGGGTGGGAATGAAAAAAAAAAAAGGTTGAGTTAATCATGATGAAGGTCAGAGGTCGAGGTTGTAAAACACTTCATTTCATTCGTTCCTTCATCATGTTAGCAGCTACTTGCATCTTGCTCAAATGAGTATTCCATCATACCTTTTCTGGGAAATTTTCCTGCAAGAGTTGGAAGGAAAATCAATGTAATTTCACGTATATACAAAAGAGAGGGATAGGTCCTTGCAAGTATTTTAAATTCAACAAAAATATCATATAACAGCAAGAATCAAAGTAACAGTTAAGATGTGAAGCATTATAAAATGAAAAATATCATATATTTTGATATTATTAACAGTTGGAGTATATAACATTTTTCCAGGATAATGCTAATGGTCATGAAAACTTTCCATGATATGGAGCACTATAGTTTCATTTTAAAAAGTTAATCTTGTTTTCAGCACCTCCTCAAGTGTAGGCCAAACTCATTTTTCTTCATAAAGTGAGACAGGTGCACAATATTTATATATGGGTGGGTGTCAATGTCAGACTTAAACTCGGGCCTTTTACCTTATAACCACGTCAGTCATCACATTTAAAAACTTAAGTTGTTTATAATACGATATTTACGCCGACAGGCCTTTTGCAGGGATGTAATATATGATACTCACAATTTTCGTGTATATATTTTTATTTCTTTCTTTTCCTCAGCTTTGATTGGTGAAATGGGAATAATGAGAGTGGATTTCAGGTTCGATAGTGTCGAGAAGGTATTAGCCACCGGCCCACCGGTGACCATACTTTCGCCCAAATATCCCAGACTTCGGAGAAGGACTGGCCTGATGAAGAGGAGGGAACGTGCCGTTTGAGAGGAACCAAGGGATGAAAGCGGACTCCACTAATCCTATAGCTGAAGGATGAATCCCTTCTCGAGGCACATAAAAACATGCATAACTAGCTAGGATTCTGTTATATGTTACAGATCATGAAACAAGAAATTACCTCATTTAAATATTGGAAATAGTCATCATCTTCTTCTTCTTCCATAGCACGTAGTAGGAAAATGCTTCAGAGAGAGAGAGAGATCTTTCTGAAGAAGTTAAATGCTTTGAGAGTCTGCAGAAAAATGTATGAAACTAGCTAGTATTGATGCAGAATAAAGCTTGAAAGCTGAGAGTTAATTTATATATAGCATAAGCTGGCGAGAAAATGAATAGGTGGAGTGACTACTTTATTTGGTGGTTGAAAGTTTTTTGCACGAACGAGCCACCCTTCCGTTGTAGCACATTCTCAACCACCAACTTAATGAGCTGTAACACCCAAATTCCACAATCTAAAACCATTTTGGTTTTAAGTGATCTTTATAGAATATATTTCAGAATATTGATTTTCCGTATTTTATTAATTAACTGTTCAAATAGAGTGATATTTACTTATTCAAATATTTTAATAGAATTTTACTGTTTCCAATAAGTAGTAAGAAAATAAATGCCTGTATATAAACATGGTGTTAGGTTGAAGAAAATATTCAAATGAATGTGTTTTTCTTTCTTTCATAGTTTAAATTTTTAGATAAGTAATTCAATATAGTATTAAAGTGGACACACTTGTAGAGTTCAACTATCATTGTGGTTCGTACATGAGACCATATCGAAGATTGGATTTATAAATCGGTTGTCAAACGAAGGCTTAAACTTTTAAATCAGTTAGTTCGACTATTTTTTCTTCTTCTTCTTCTTTGCAATAGCTATTTCAAATTGTTGTAGTCATAAAATGAGATATATTAAACGCTCCAATTGTTTAAAGATATTTACATTACCACAAAATAATCTCAAGCCATTTATTATGAAAAAATGTTATAGCTACAATATAAACTTGGAGCTTGGGAGGGATTGTAGCAAGGTAACATGCTTTATGACTTTTATCTTTTACCATCTAAGCTACTATTTGCACATTTATATTGTGTCCTCAGTATTTTAGGTGTTGAGATATTCAACAATAAATGCTAGTTCAGCATTACCAACTACTCTCAAGCATAGAGACAAAAGCTTGTCCTTCTTTGAAATCGTGTTATACATTATTGGTACGTAATATTGAATAGAATTCAATAATATAGCTCATATTTGATCTCCATTTTGTAAAATTTATTTTTCTTCTAAAATTCATTTTAAACCATATATTTTATGGAATCTACAATTTTTATCAATTTTTCAATCACATATTTCATGATTTTTTATCGGAATTTACTAAAAATAAAAATTTACTAAAAATCGAGTTAAACTATGACAAAGTCCAAAACATGCGAGTATTGATAGGTTATAGGTCATAGGTATGCGATATAATGCTATTTTTAGGTCATAGGTTGAGAAATATGGTATCCACCAAAAGCATGTGCCTTTTCAACTGAATATGATGTCTGGAGGAAGTAGGGTGGTTGATTGTTGACCCATCACGCACGTGCCCTTCACATCGTATACAACCTAATTATACTTGCCAAAATATCCCACGACTATCACAATTGTCAATTGTGTGACCTTTATTTTATTCCCATTGATTATTCAAAGTTTTATTTCTAAAGATTTGCAGGATTAAACTTAAGAAGTGAGGAGTTAATTTTCAAAAAACTTTAATAAAATACATGAATAGTGTCTTGTAATTTAAGAGTAATAGAAGGATTTTCTAGATGAAGGTTTCTAGATGGCAACTATCAAACGACTTTAATACATTTGAGAGAGGGGAGATGACTTATCATGGCTAACATGTCCTGAATTCAATTACGTACGAACACGACGATATTTTATTTATTTTTTTATATTTTCTTAGGAAATATAGGAATTCATGTCTCTCACATGCCCATAGTTATTACACCTGGCCATTAGTAACTATGTCACGGTCGACGCTTAATCACCATAGGCGCGAGATTAGCATGATTCCTTGATAGACTCTCAGTTGGCCATCATGGACAATTACTAGGTTTACATGAGAGTGCATAACTTAGAAGTCGAGAATGTCCAGAAAGTTATTTGCTAGGGAGTAACTCTTGACCTTAAATTCTTGGGATCATTTTCCCAGCGATGAATATACTATGACGGATGAACCAAAACTGGTTTCATGACGTCATTTCTTTTGAAGTTGTCATCTATGAGTTTTGCCCAAACACGACTTAAATGGTAAAAAAACATGTTAAATTGCATATCCAATGTCATACCACATACAAATGAAAGTAATATATTTAGTTATATCTCTTCATCAAGATTTAAACATAGACAGTAGGCAACTAAACCGACTACAGGGACAAATCGAAGATAGTTTACTATACCAATCTTGTCCCTTTGAATATTCTGTAGGTTTTCTCCAATTAACCATGGCTGGAAAATTATATATAGGCAAATATCCCAGATGAAGGCATATGCAAGTCTTTCAGATCCTAAATAACTCAACAAGAACTCCCATCTTTCTCGTAAATCGCCAAAATTATTGTCTCCTCGGCCATAAAGGGCCCACAAGGTTGACAACAGACACACAAGTCCGCCAACTAATCCAACAACAGGTGCACCTTTTGTCATGATGATGCCTAATTGAGAGGTCTTTCTTGGGGTGGAGTCCTGATCAGCCTCATTCAAACGGATAGCCATATAAGGAATCAAGAATGCTGAATAACAAATAAAGAAGACGACTTAATAGTGCTACCAATGAAAGCACAAAGAATAATAAGAAAAAGTAAAATAAGCAACAGAAAATTCAAATATTGAGAATATGTTAAGCATAATTATTAATGGGAAATTACATACTGTTTGTGAGGAACATTTGAAACCCCCATAGAATATCAAGTGATCCTGTATATCTGTCTCTCTTACGATCAGTAAACAGCAAAGGAGCAAACAAGAATGTCCATCCAATTACAAAGTTGAATAATCCTTCAGACATCTAAGAAATAGAAGTTACAAAATGTTAAAAAATGAGTTTTACAAATCACGAGACATGAATTGAGATACTAAAAACTTTACTGTAGAAAGTAAACCTTACCGGATGAAGCACTGGGGCCTCCATCAGATGAATGCCAACTACTCTGCCAAAAGTTTCATTCCACAGATGATCAAGAGTAATATAGTAGAACATGATATATCAACAAAATGATACACTAATCAGAGTACATGTTATGGATGGCGACTATCACATCCATTTGCCAAAAGTATTGAGCAACATTGGTATGACTGTACAACAAAAAACACTACCAAAACTTGCACTTTACAAACCGCTACTTTATGTTTTTTTCTCATATCAAAGAAGAGCCACGGTTTCGAGGATGTAAAAAGTCAGCCCAAACATTTGGGTCTGCTGCATACAATTTATAAACACATTGATGATGAATGGATAGAATAATAAAATAGCAGTTGCCCAGATCAGGTGTTCCAAAACTAGAAAAGGGAATTATTAAGTATGAACAACTTCTCATCTTCGATAAAAAAAAACTACCTTTGACTCGAGATACTTTTCTCCAAGTTATTGTCTGTTTCATGTATAAACATCACCTTTTAGAGCAGTTGCTCATCCTAGTAAAGATGCTAATGAAAATGCTATTTCCTTGGGAGCACGAATCTTGAAGAAGATATGACTTTGGATAAAGCAGTTCTCTCATTAACTATAAAGGTTCAAGATTATCCAGAGGTGAATCACGTAAACTTGTGCTTATTTTGAGCATGTTCAACTGCTCATGGATATTGTTTACACCAGAATCACATGTCAAATACCACTAGATCATTAAATTTAAAGGATGCATCCCTTCATAAGCAGGTGATTACACAAGGAAACTTTTATGGGAACTGCCTGATTAAAATGTCGATATTCAATTGATTTTAAACCATTTCATTTGATTTTAAACCATTTCAAAACATTTAAAACAAACATGGACAACAGATTTCCACAAAGTATTAAGCCTCCAAGAAAATTATTTAGAAGTAGAACCAAAAGATGCAACGTACCAGAGTTGATCAAAGGCAGAATCAAGAAGAAATTGAGAGAGAGGCCTATAAGAGAGTTGATTGTTTCTGAAGTGATGGCCCAAACAGGATCCCCCTGCAATGTTTAAAAGAAAGGTTAAAACACTGAGGAGTCCATTTATTTCAGGGGACACTGGAGTTGCCACAAGTAAGTTTGAATGGCACCAACTGAAACCCGTCTTTTGCCTTCTCTCTCTCCCAAAAGAATACGTGAGTGTTGGACACATAAAAATGAAAATAAGATATTTGAAAAATACGTTAATATTGCCTTCTGATAATCTAGAGGAGCATAACATATAAGGTAGACGTACAAGAAGAACAAAAGTAACAAACAAACGGCATTCTGATTGCAGAAGTTTATAGAATTTCCACATAAGTTGGGGATTTCAATAGGTGGACCATGGGAATGAAATTTTCAGGAAAAAAAAAAGCTAGAATAATCAATTGTGATTTACAACACCACTTAATCAAACAATAGTGATAAGTAGTGTGGAACAAATTGCTTGCCCAGACGAAGAGCATTTAGTTCCCTCCTGTTGTTTCAAATGAAATCATTTGAAAACAAGCTCCTTTTCGGACCAGTTTTCTGGTGAATGTTACAAATGCAGCTGAACACAGAGTAAACAACCACAAAATAATGGTGTGATTGGTGAAAACGAAGGGAATTAAAACTAGTGATTTCACAGCCAAAAACACAACTTACAGGAATCAAACCATATATATTTTAGAAGAAAACCTGAACAAGATTGTTGTATGTAGATAACATCACAAACAAAAGTAGACACATCTTGATTCACAA